CAAGTGCTTGGACAGAGGAATCCGACCGCAGATGTTATCAAATCAGCAGTTCTCCACTTACAACCGACAGATATAGTCACACAAACACAGATACCAGTATTTGCATGGTGGCATACAAAGACGTGCACTGTAACATGTTCAGATTAGCCTCTAATTGCATACAGTGTGATCTTTATCAGGACGTATTTACTGTGGCAAATCAGTCGCCCAGGACACTGAGCCTTGTTGATGCATGACACATTTACCCTGAGACCTCAGATTCACCAGACTGCTGGAAATCGCTACGAGCAGGCAGAGGGTAAACGTCATCATAAACTCAGTCCTTATTAATTTATATTGTGGTCATAGATCCAATTTGAGGTATTGGCTGCAACTAACGATTCATTTCACTGTTGATTATGTGAGAACTTTTTCCTTGATTTATTCCTTAATCACTTTGGTCTATTAAACATCATAAAATGGTGAAAAATATCCAATACAATTCCCAGACGCTCATGGCAGCGTCTTTATGTCTAGTTTTATCCGACCAACAGATCAAAACCCAAAAAATGTTCAGTTCATAATGATGAAAAACAGAGAAAAGCAGAGAATCCTCACATGATGCATTCCTCTTAAACAATACATTATCACAGCAGTTGCTAATTCAGTTTCTGTCGATCAGATAATGGATTAATTGACTGATTGTTTTAATTTCTACTGTTAAGACGATGATGCCACCAGAGGGCTGCAGCTCTAATTTAAACTGTTGTCGAAGTGTCTTTATTTTAACGCTGTAATATCTTTTGCCACTGAGCAAAGTGTCACCTCGGGATCACGAGTCTCTGACGATACATTCATTTGTTTTTCAACATTTATTAATATATGTATGGAACAATCTGAACTCATTTAAAAGAAACTTTTTTCTGGCAAGTGTAAGTGGATTTTTGGGCGATAATATTTGCCACATGAGTTTCATGGCTCAGCTGTTAAACTAAAATGACAATTTTATGATGAAATTACTGCTCTCTAGATTAGAGATAGCTGTGATTTTACCATAAGGGCCCCTGGTGTGTAATATAATGTCTAGCAATTCAGAATTTAATATCATTTTTTATAACCCTGCTTTTATCCAACTGTTAATTACGAGCTGTTCTTGTTTGCAAATATTCATTTTTTCTTGCTTAATATAACATATTAAGGCTGCAACTAATGATTATTTTTGCTAGTGATCAATATCATTTGGTCTATAAAATATTAGAAAACTGAATGTTTTTGCTTGAAAAATTACATAAATGATTAGTCAATTATCAAAATAGTATTACATTTCTGTCAATTGACAAACAAATGAATAGAGAAATTGTTGCAGCTCTAATACATATTTCGTCCATATTTTTATTCTCATTCTCCTCACACTAGGGCTGCAACTACCGATTATTTTTTTTGTTTAATCATTCAAATCCATGAAACATTCGCTGAGCTGAAGGTGATGTCTTCAAATAACAAAGAAAAGCAGTGAATTTTCTCTTTTGAGAGAAAAAAACCATTAAAACAATCTAAACAGTTGCCAATTTTTTTTCTGTCGATCGACTGATCAATTAATCTACCAAGCTCTAAAATGAATTAATTTATTGTTTTTCATTGATTAATCCATCCTTTTATTTCCTGCCACTTATCCAAGTCCAGGTCACATTGAATTATTGTTAAATACTGCTGGGAAGTACTGAAGAAAATGTGTTATATGTAATAACTAATTTTGTCCCTCCTGATTTTCCATCATGCTTTCTTGATATGACTATAAAACAGATACATTAATTGATTACATTAAATGTGGAATTAAAAAAGGTCATGAAAAGTCTTCAATTTAATTTGACACCTGCAGAAACCCTTTGTATATGAATCTTACTGCCAGTGTATGAGACTAATCAATACATCTACCTATCGTTTCAGGCCTACTTCTTACTCTTAGCCATATTAATGGATGTTTCCATTATAAAAGACTATACACTCATCAGCTACACAGCATATGAAGGAACATACAGCAGGAAAAATCTAAATAATCTGACTACAACAAGAGGAAACTCCCCATCTGTCAGAGCACTGATGGCTGCGAGCACAGGAAAAATAACCCTGCATTACTAACTTAGCTGCTGCCTGCGTCGTCATAGAAACAGCCCATGTGACTCAGGGCTGGTCATGAGCCGTGAACATCCTCCAACTCTGTCTCTCCCTGCCCATCCCACATGCTCTCTCGCCCAATCCGATCCCGGTATCCCTTGACGGTTAACCCACTCGCAGAGGGAGGCAGCGGGGTCTTGGCAAGGCAAAGACCTCCAGTCTAAAACACCCATATGCCATACACAACACTCCGAGCTTTCAGAGGCAGAGAGGGGAAAGCGTGTGTTCGTATGATTATATCTCAAGACAATTTTGGTTAACATTTGTTTTGTTTTTTTTTTTACTTACAATTTCTGCCTTGTGTCTTTTCTACCACTGCCCTCTCCTCTTAGCTCTTAGTCTGAATGTAAAAAGTATATTCCTTTGCTTTTTCAAAATCACTTCTTCTTGACTTTGAACAGAAATGAAAGGAATCGAAAGAGACATTGAAAGAGAGACATTGACATTGAACAAGTTATGGAAAGAGTTGGCACAACTGTAGATAATCATGTACCATCAGCTTAGAACATGTGAACTTTAAGTCACATTCTCTAGCAAATGTCATCTGTCATAAAGGAGCCTCAAAAGGTCTCTCACAACTCCTGTACCCATCACTTCATCACTAGCATCACAATTTAATGAACCTGAGATAAAGAAGTGTCCTGTCTTTTCACATCTACATTTGTAAATAAGATCAGATAGTCAAATGCATTGTACTTTTCCTGTTCCTTCTTGATGTGTTTTGGTGAGAGTTTTTATATGAAGAAATATTTAACATTTCACAGTGATACTTGCATGAATTATTTCAAAATAATAGCAATGATCTGTTTACTTCATTTTAAAAGCACTTCTCTGGAGAATATTAAATATTTTCAGGTTTTAGACCAAACAAGACATTTACTGAGGTCTCACTGGGCTCAAGGAAAATGTGAAGGACATGTTTCAGAGTTTTCTGATGTTTCATGGACCGAAAAATTAATCACTAGATTAGTTTGTGATGAAAATAATCATTAGTTGTAACGTAGTCACTAACCATCTAACTCCAAACGTCACTGGTTCGAGTCCAGCTTTGTTGTCTCTACCTCTCACTCTCCACTCATTTCCTGTCACCTCTTCACTGTTACTATCAAATAAAAGTACCAGAAAAATACCAGAAATAACACTTGCCTATTTACTGGGATATGGGTTTGGTATAAGATCTTGTTTATAAATGTATTCTATTTGAGTTAATTAATTTTAAGGATTTTATTTCATATTTATTGCCAGTTTTACTAGTCCTGTTGTTAACTGAATCACACTAAATCAGTCAGTTTAGAATGATATATGATAAAGAAACACAGCAAATCCTCCTATTTGAATTAGAAAATTTTTGGCATTGCTTTCACGATTTTTGCTGAACTGAATGTGAAAACTTCAAACGTCTTGTTTTATTCGACCAAAAGTCCATTAACCCCCAAAATATTTTTACAACGATATACGTCAAAGAAAAGCAGCAAATCCTCTCTTTTGAGAAAATGAAATCTCCACTTTTTTTGAATCGATTATCAAAATAACTGCCAATTATTTTTCCTACAATCAATGAGATCCATCCCTCAGTAAATTACTCGGATCTATATTTGGTGTTGTCAGCCAATAAAACAATGAACCGGTGTCAGGTGTCAGAATAAGACTTTTAATATGGGCTGTGTTCTCTCACTGTTGTGCGTAATGTGCTCACTAATAACTCCTGTCATCACACCTGAATTCCAGTGACAACAGTCAGTCACTACTGTCTGCCCAAAACATGTTTCTGTTTCCACTGAAAACACACTGACTGGAAATCCATCTCTGACCTGCTGGTCTCACCAGTGAAGAAGAAAATACTGCCTGGACACAGTTTTGTTCCAAGTGCCAAGTTTCAGGAGGACAGCTTGTTTACAATCTTCCATTATACAAGAATAGAAGCTGCAGTACTTGTCAGAACAGCCAAGCCTGTCTAGCTAATTACGGGGCAAGGGCACACATTGGACATGCTCCCTTTATGTGTCTGAGGAACCGACTGTTGACTGGATTATAACCATTGGCCTTGAGAATTACAGAGGATGTGCTTTACATGAGGAGGTAAGAAGCAGCAGCAGCACCCCCCCCCCCCCCCCCCCCCCCCCCCGCACCATGCTCCAACCACAATATGACAACAAACCAATCACATGCCACATCATCTGCTTTCATCTGGAGTAAGAACTAGGTCGCTCTTGATCAGGAGAATCGCCATATATCATTCTGCAGGTCCTGCTACATGCATTACATTACATTGCATTACATTACACAAGCCAAGTGGAGGAGCGATCATTTCTGACTGATGCTGATTTAAAGAGGTTTATCTCTCTCTCCCTTTGGCAGCACAAAAGTAATTATAACACTCTTTTTATGAACTGTATCTCCTCGTGGGACAGTCAGAAATACTACAATGCATATGTCTTGCTTCCCAAACACAATTTTAATCATATTGTACCAGAAATATACACAGTTTTGACCTGTTCTCAGTCATCAATTCACCAACAGTAGCCTACTTCATTACAGCCTAATCTTTTGGCTTCTGTAATCTAAAATGTCAGTGTATGGCGGCTGTGAGCGGACATAATGATGGACAGCTGCTGCTATCAGTAGTCCAGTGTTGTATCTTAGGCAGTTAAGTCTAGGCATTTTTATGTACTGCCAAGGTGACAAGGGATGACAGGAGTACTTCATACACTTAGCAATAGGTGGCTAGCTTTGGTACCCTGCTGAAATCAGCTGCTCAAAAAAACATACACCATAGAGTCAGTCATACCCTGACATGTTGAGTGAGAATCACAGCTTCAAATTTCACTGTACTGCAAGTTACATACCCCATTTTTGGTGAATTTAGTGGCTAAATTGGGTCGAAAATGCTCCTCTCGGTGGTCTCTTGAGGGCGGTGTGAACAGGCTGGAGGCTAGCTTCAGCTTTCTGATCCCCTCTCCCCTCCCCGAGTAGTAATAAGCCGCTCTGGTTGCTGTTGTGACTTCACGGCCGGCGGAGCCACGGTGCTGTTTTCAGTCCGACATGGCTTGGCTCGCTGTCGTCGTCGTTGTTGTTGTTATGCCCTTGGGTACATTTTGGTGGGGGTGTTGGCTTGGTTTCATCCGAGCAAACGTGTCGGTGCATGCATGATGACCGAGAACGGCACGGCAGCTCTTTAGTTGCTACCGTTAGCTAGCTAAATAAAACTCCTCAGTTATACCCAAGCGAGGATTAACGACCTAAACTCCGGCTGACAGGACAGGCAGTGTGATTTACGGCCAAATCAAACTCGGATTGGTGAAGCTGCCTTTTTTTTAAAGAAAAAAAAATTAAAATAAATAGAAAAACAAAGTTAAAATGTCAAAAGAGGCAAACGAAAGATAGCTTTAACGTTATCCATTCGTTGCTAACCTGCTGTCTGTTAACGGCTGCTGATGTGAGCTGTGAAATCTGACCGGATAAAGACGGTAAATGTACAGATACTTATCCTCAACCGAAAGGGAGGGAAACCGTTAACATTCACCCTTCAATCTCAATAAACCGACTGTTAATAAATCCCAGTTTCCGCTGGTCGCTGGATCGTCTTCATCGTCCGCTGTGCCATCAATTTCTCTCCCCTCCGACCAAGACCGTCCAAGATTAGCGAGTTTACCAGCCGCAAAATAAGTCCTTTACAGCGGACATCTTCTTGCAGGAGAGGGCTTCATCTCCTCTGCTTCTGGAGAAAATGCAGAGAACAGTCGGTGCATGCTCCAGGCTCCGGCATCACATCCTCCAAACAGATTATCTACCGACGGTTTACGTGCAAAATGTACGCCGGTTTCTCTCAGTCTTATTTCTCACTTGTAACGAAGCCTCAATTCGGATTCATGCGATGTCTGAATATGCTGCGGATGCTGATGCTCCCTCGGCCGGCTCATCCTCTCATCATCCCCAGCCTGTCTGGTCTCTGTCAGCCCCTCTCGGCTCTCATTCATCAGCTCCGTCCTCCGCCGCTCTCATGGGGTCGTTAATATAACGACGTCATCACGTTACCGGCTAACTTTTGACGTCATTGCCAATAAAGAGTGTCATCACATCCGGTGTGCAGCCAAGATAAAGTTGTATATTTTGCAACGAATCAGGAGTACAGGTCACTAAACTACACACATGGCCGGATTAACCTCCTAAGGGTCCCCAGGTTAAAAGTGGCTTGTTGCGCCCCCCCCACCCCCCACAACTGCAGCAAGATATAGATGGGACAGGTATCAAGCATAGAGACAAAATTACATCAAGAAAGTATTTTTACATTAAACAATATATACATTGTTAGTGTGTTTACATGAGGCATAATATTGCACTTCCTGTAGATGTACTGCTATGGCTTTCTTTAATTATATGGGTCATGGGTCACACCATCTATTATTGACAAACACTGCTAGCCCCCTTCCTTTCCTCTTACCAATCTCCTGCCGCAAACATTCCACCACATAAACACTAATGTAAAAATCTGGAAAGGTCTAGAAACGTTCATGAAACTTGAACTGTCACTGTGCACAGATTTCAAAGTTGAACACCAAAATGCCAAAAATGAAGGAAAGTTTCTGAACATGTTGAAGTTTGAATGGAGTTTCTACCTGAAAGTATGAATGAGTAGAAGGGGTTGAAAAATTCATGAAAAGTTGTGGGAAACTAGAGATTTTGAGAATTCTGTCTATTCATTTCAATGGGGAAAAATGTCAGAATAATTTTGGAAATTATGAAATATATCAAAAAACGGAATACATCTGATAATGTCCTAATTGAGCTGAACATTTTAAAGTTTGAATGGAGGTTTTATTTTGAAGCGTCTAGTAGGAGATATGAATCAAAAACCTGTTTGTGTCCAAAAGAACTGACAGCACAGGGTTAAAAGCAATGAAGCACAATCACACAATTAACATTAGCATAAATAAAAAATGTAACATAAAAAAAAAAGTAATGACTCAATCATTCTGGTTATTCTATTCATGAATCTATTGTCAAAATATGCCAGGCACTGGATGTCTGCCTGATGACAGCACAAAATTGAATCAGTATTGTTGATCAGCCACACAGGATCATGAAATGAGATTCTGTATGCCTGTTTATTTTTATTATGAACATGACAAATTTTCCATCCAAAGTCATCAGTCTGCTCCTCTATCAGCTGTCACAGAGTCCAATTTTGGAGTCAGGTACATAATGAATATAGATGTATAACTACAGATTCTGTGCAACTGATGATTGCCATCTTCTGGACAGTGGCTGATATGGCTGACTCACATGCACGGTTCAAATAGAAGCAAAATGGCAAGAAAGTGAACATTAATATTAAAGTTTGGATTTGTTGAATTAGCATAAGGAGACTTTACAGTAAAGATCTCAAATTTAGTAAATGTGCAAGAGAAGTTAAAAAAAATATTCGCAAACAATAAAGTGGATTTAAGGGAAACAAAACTGAAATTCAATGTGAATTTTGAAGTTAAATTTTAAATCTACAAGCTCATATATGTCATATGTTGTTGATATAAAATTTATATGTTAGATGTTTGTGGTAACTCCAGCTGACAAATACATCTAGTGGAGTAAAAGGTACAATATATTTCTCTGAATTGTAGTGTATTTAAGTAAATACTTAGTTATATTCCACCATTTAACTAAATTCTAAAGCAGAAATATGAGTGAATGACATTACAGATGCATTACAGATTTAATTGTTGTAACTGTTAAGGATTATCTATTTTAAGCTAATTAATTTATAATATTATGTTGAATTAATTGAAATTGAATTGAAGTCCACAAAGAATAAAGTGCATGTTTATTAGTCAAAGTCCATCACGTCCATTGAGCAGGGTTTTGATTTACAGACGGACTGTCAGACTGGTTTGCACGTGAGGACAACTTGTGCCCAGATACAACCTGTTGACTAAACCCTCCCCAACTCCTCCAGTCTTTCATTTCCCATGCAGCCTAGTATCCCTGTCACACTGCAAGACAGACACGAGCAGGTGTGAGGTTGACATTTTCATCGATGCGTGGCTCAGGAGCCAGGAAAACCAGATTTTTTTTTAGATGAAACATGCAGAAATTTAGAAAATGAAAGTAGCACATTAGCCCATAAGCATTTGTTTTTCAGGGGGAATAAAGGTAGAGGTGGTGGTGCTCACGCTTTGTTATTTATCTGTATTATTTCCTACAGGGACAACTGTTAATGCTTAATCAGGGATTTGTTTGATATTTTATCAGTTGTGAACAACTAAAGACCAAAGTGTACCAACTCTCTGCCTGTGACAGTCTTACAGACAACCTCTTGACACTGGATACGGTTGCCAGCAAAAAATTATATTTAGAACAAGACATTTACTTCATGCCGCTGCACTTCTTACAGTTAAAATTAGTCATCGGCTACGACTAATTAACCCAGATTAACCTGTTTTATTGTAAAAACCAAATGCAAGGGTTCAGCCGTCAGTGTGAACAGATGACAAATTAACCTCCGTACGTGTTGCAAATGCTTGAGGTGAAACACTGGAAGACTCGTTTTCTATTTCAAGATTACGCTGAGCATGAAAACTCAACTCGAGCACACTGGCTTAGAATGTGATCAACAGAGCAGCGCTGAGTTGTGGAAAGAGGCTGAAGCAAATTCATCGAGATATTACAACAATGGATGCTGTGACAGAAGACTTTGGACATTCAGACGCTGACGCTGAGATGAGAGTGCTGACACCTGAAGATATTACTGAGCCAAACCTTGATGCCAGCGATGACGTGGAGAACCTTCGTAACAGGTGCAAATCAGTAACTGTAATTCTTTATATCGTATATGACTGCAGCTCAGAGTCAAGGTTTTCTGTATAATAAGGTTTATTTTATAGTTTTCATGTCAGTAGTTGTTGAGCGAACTCTATTTACAAATAGCTCAGAGGCAACTATTTCACACACTGTAAAACTTAACAGCACGTCTTAATAAAAATCGTTAGTATGACTTGATCCTCAAAAAAAAATTTGGAGTCACTAATTTCCACTAATTTGACTTTAGTCAAAACTCAGTTGTTTTGTGTGTACTTACATTTTTGGAGCATTTTAAGTAATTCCAGTTTGTAGAGTTGACTTCAATATTGCTGCTAAAAATGACTTGCTGCTTTTTGTTTTTGTTTCAAGTTACAAAAACATTAGGATCTGTTCAAATAATTTCATGTTAAAAAAAATGACATTAATTACATTTTTAACAACTTAAGATAGTTGTAGTCTTGTCTATAATCAGTTGATCGATTTGCCAATCCACACAAAATTAATCAGCAAATATTTTCACATCTGTTTCTGTTTGTGGTCAGTTAATAAAAGACACTTAAAAAAAAAGGTCCCATTCACATTTATTCAAAGATTTAACAAAAATCCAATCACTGATTTGCAACATTGCTCCTAAAATCCTGACACAACAAGAGATTATTTTATGGTCACATGCCATGGTAGAAACAGTACAGAAAATTCATGTTGTCTTATAGAATCCTGTATATTTTACCAAACAATGAACAATATGTGTATCGATTGTCTTGTCTTTTTGACCCCTTTGACCCTTAATATTCAACCTCTCACACTGTGTAAGTGTCAACAGCACATACAAAGTCCATTTGCAAAGTATTAAAGTGTTACCTGTGCAGTATTTGTGTTTGTCTGTGCGGAGTGCAAGTAATTAAAATAATATTCTCTAGTTGATAGCCTGTAATACTTTGACCTATCTCTCAATTCTTTAACTTTCGCTGTGAATGAGATGACAATGAATGTCCTTTGAATCAAGCACCAAACTGTCCAACCAGTAACGCTCTTTTCTACTTCAATACAGCAAAATGTACAGTGCTGAATGTGGAAGACAGACAATCCAAAGCTGTTATATTTAAAAATGGATATGTTTTAATCTGAGCAATAAATCAGGCTGATCAGCCTTTAAAAATGCCATGAGTTTTACACAGACCAGTTAGCACTGACACCCATAAAG